TTATCCCATTTATATAGATCATTTAAGCAGGTTTTTTTAAATGGAAGCTATCTTTTCCTTGAACTCAGTGTGAGTCAAAAGGCAAACTAGAGGGGAATGGCACCAGATGAGCTTCCTCTGATTTTGTGCACATTGTCTCTGGACTTGGAGATAGCAAGTCAGTCTGCCTTCTTCCAGGAGGTTCTGTCACCCCTCTCATATGCTGACCTGGTGGAAACTTCCCATCACTGCCAGATTTGTCTGAATTCCGAGGTGAAATAATTTTGGTATTAGAGTGCAATATGCAATATCGCCATACCTGGATTTCTGAAATACAATTATAGTGAAACTAATGGGGCAGAGTACATATTATCAATGCAATAGAAAAATAATCAGAAGAGATATTGTAGACTCTTTCAACCCTGTTGGCACCCGAAGTGTGAGCATTACAGCAAATATCGTGTCAAACAAAGCCCGTATCACTCATAATTAGGAAATATGATACATTCATCGCCATCGTAATTCTCATAGATCCTGATATAGATTAAATGGCCTAAAAACTCAGTGAAAATTTCTTTCCTTTCACCAGCTAATCTTTATTTTCTGAAAGGTTTGAATTTGTCACGTTTATATAATGGATTTTTTTTGTATTCCATAGTTAACTGAATTAAAATATTTCTGTTAACAAATTAGTCTCCAGGCCTTGGAGTCAGTCAAACTTGACTTAAATGTACAGACAACAAATATGAAGAATATAAGCAGAGGCTATGAAGACTACAGGTTTCTGCTGTCTCTCATATAAAATGCAAGGAATTAAGTGATTTTTTTACTTTTGTCCTTAATAGCAAGAAATCTAGTCTTAAGGACGTAGACTACCAATGGATGAGACATGATCCTTGCACAAGTTAGAAGGTTGGAAAGTACTCAAGACACAGGACAAAAATCAGAGATGAAAAAACTTAGTTTCACCATTATTTACAATAGTGAAAAATGGAAATTAAATATCCATTAATTAAATGAATTTTGGCACATGCAAATGATAGCTTATTAGGAAGTCATAACATTTTGAAGAATAATACACTAATGATGTTCACATACACTGTTCTAAAAAGCCAAAGATAAAATTTTAGTCATTATCATGTCTTTTGTAAACAACAAAAAAAAATGTTGAAATGTGTGTTTTGGGCATGCAAAAGCACAGCATCCAGAGACACAGTGATCTGGTGAGAATAAGTAGGTAAACACCTGTTTTCTACCTGGCGTGAGAACCTTCATGTGGGTAGGGACCATATCTGTCTTTAGTCATTTCTTGTCTAGTACACTGCTTGGCTCAGTTAGTAGTTGCTCAACAAAGGAGCAGCATATTACCATATCCATTAAGTGGGGTGAGGAGCATCTGTTTTCGATGTTGAGGAGCTCTAGACGCTCATCCCCCCTTTAGTATCTTGGAAAAAAGTTGTGTCTGAAGCTCATTGACAGAACAGAGTATTAACAGTGGCTGAGCCCCATTAGAGGTGCTTCTATTTTAGCAAGTTTACTTCCCCATCTAGGAGGCACTAGTTATTATTCAGTCACCTACGGATTCCCATCCCCACTTCCAATTACTATAAATTTGAAGACTATCCACAGAGGAGGAGGGGTTCTTCTCTACGGCTGAGCTTGTTATGGTGTTCTAGTCTAGTGATGAGCTACCTTAGCCCCCTCTGTTGGGATAGGGAGAGGAAAGAGGATCATTGCGTTCTGGTGTGTTTTTGCTTGTAATTTTTTCCACCATAAGCCATGTGATTCCATTGGGGGCTGGCTCTCTTTCTCTCTTGTTCTCTGTACAGTTTGCACAAAATGGGGGAATGATGCATACACTTTAGTACTTCTTGAGGTTCCTGTGGGATGTTCATGTAGAAATTTCCAACACACAAATATTATAGTCAAAGCTTAGAGTCTGGAATGGAGACAAAAATTTAGGATCACTTCATTGCTTTCAGATTGCTATGGCAGTAGAGAGAAAAGAAATCTGCCCAGCCTGAGACTCATAGACAGTTTTCTGGATCTAAGACCTACAGTTGGCCTTCAAGGATGACAGTGATTATGTGGCAAATATAGACTTTCCAGGAAGCAAACCCAGCTCTTGATGTGTGAGGGGAAGAAGGTACACATGATGAGTTCTATGTGGGCCCTGTAATCTAGAGTCCTGCCCCATGTACAGCTTGTCAAGAGAAATACCAACTCATGCTAACTCTCTTCCAACTCTCCTTACACATGATGATCTTTGCTTTTTTTTTTTTTTGTACCAGGGATCGAACTCAGGACCTTGCACTTGTGAGGCAGGTGCGGTGTCACTGAGCTAAATCCCTGGTGTACACCATGAAAACTTTAAGCCTGCTTTAATAATGAGTCAGTAATCATTAAACACTGTACTTGATGCCTAAAGCCACCCCAGGAGTTATTAGGGTGGTCCTGGACTAGAAGAACCTCTATCTGTCTTTATGGTGTCGGAGACATGGAGCTGGAAAACATGCAAGGCATTTATTTGCTTGAGACTAGAAGGAAGTCAGATTTGAGGATGGAAAGTGAGGTGATGTGAGGTGACTTTGTGAGAGGACAACTCTTCCTGGATGAAACAGGAGCAGATCTGTCCCAGACTCCACCTTCCTCTCAGACTCATGCTGCAGGTAACTGCTAGACGGTTACAAGTCATTCTGCCTTCCTCCTCTAAAATTATGAGGTAGACTAAACTACAAATCCCAAATCTCAACTCTTTACCTAATATCCCATGACTTTCTAGACTATAAGACTTCAGAAATTCACCATTTCATGAGTGCCTCATAAGACATTTGTTAAATAAATGCATGAATTTTGCCATATCCATGAAGTTTGAGAAAGTCCAATACGTTTTGAAGTACTAGAGATTATTATACGTTGGCAAAAGCCCTTGTTTACTTGGCTCTGGCTCCCTGTGGAAGATATTAATTTCTGAGGCCTCCAAGGAGTAACAGGCAGGGAAAAAAATCCCAATGTGAAAATGATGTCAGCTGAGTTGTTTCTTTCTTCATCTAACAGTTGTTTATAAACTCTCTCTTCTCTGGGGGGTCACTGGGCCAGCATGGTGGTCTCTTCTCCTTGCCCAAGAAGTGCTTGTCTTCTTAACTGGGTAAGTGGTATTCCAAATCCTTTTGCTGCAAGCAACAACTTGTTTTGCATAGAAAAGAAGTTTGCTGGTGGGCCCTGGAGTGCCTTTTCCATGTCTTTAGCAAGAAAGCTCCAGTGAGACTTGGGTGCTTGACAGAAGGTGAAGGGAGAGAGGAGGCAATGAAAACCAAGGTTTTGAACCCCACTAACTAGGAGAATTTCAAAGCTGTTAGCAAAATAATTCAGTCATGGGGAGATTGGATTGGAAGAAGGGAAGTTCAGCTTTGGAGATACTGGATTTGAAGTAATCATAAGAACATGTCTATGAAGAAATGGCCAAATCCTTTGATAGTGGTTGATCTGTTGTAAGTGTCTTCTTCTGCTCATCATTTTAACCCCTGGGATCTCCAACTTGAGCCTTTTCCTTGTGAGTTAGGCTCCACTTAATTTAAGCATCTATCGTTTAGGTGGAGATTGAAGTAGATCACTGGGTATTTTATGTGGGTGACTTCTTTGGGGATAGGGGAGCATCATCTAATTGATCATGTACGTGTAACATTTATTTGGGCCCATGATAGTATGAAGATTAAATTATTGTACATCTAGAATCAGGAGACAGAAGAGCAAAAGCTAAGGGGGAGTGGAACTGGAAGCAGAGTAGAATTCAGCCTGAGAATCTGCTCACTCAAGACTCGAGCTATGAGAGTTCAGCTGTGTATCCAGTGAGGCAAACCTGCTGTGTATACACTCAAACCATGTGGGAGCTTAAGCTCCGAAACTCTCACCTTGGTAAAAGATCTTTTTACGTTCTTCTTATTTCGGAGCCCAAGAGTCTTATTTTGGAGTCCAGACTCTATGTAGGGAAGTGCAACATAATCTTAGTGTTTATTTAGAAAAATCTAAAAGTTACTATGTTCAGAACTGGGAATGTCTTCAGTGGCATCTTCGTTTATTGGCCATACCTTTCGTTGCGTTTCACTTTTTTTTTTCTCTGAAAAGTCTGGTCCCAGTTTCATGGTTTCACAGATAATCTTTTAACAGACAGGCCACAGTGGTCATCTCTATCGCCATCACTTGTAGTCATCCCTCTCCATCTGTGAGTTCCGTATCTGCAGATTCAACCAATTACAAATATCCATGGTTTGAAAGTATTTGGGGAAAAGTCACCTCTGTGCTGAACATGTAGAGACTACTTACCTTGTCATCACTTCCAACATGGTCCAGGATAACAACTATTTACATGGCATAGACATTGTAAGATGTATTGTAAGTAGTCTAGAGAGGACTTAAAGTAGGAGGGAGGAAGTGCTTAGATTATAAGCAAATATGCCATTTTATACACAGGACTTGAAAGTATTTTGGTATCTGATGAGTCCTAAAACCAATCCCTTAAAAGTAGAAGTCACTGTCTGATGAAATATGTATGTGAAAGTTGTGAAGACACAGGTTGGGGAGACCACATTACCCTTTTGTCCTCAAGTTTCCCTTTAATCTTCTGAGATATTATATACTAAGATTATAATCATGCCATCATGTGCACATGTGTGAACTTTGGCTCCAGAAAAATCATCTTTCCCTCTAAACTTCCAATGCTACCTTTGTTCAGAAAGTGTTTCCAAATTTTTACTCCTAAATTGAAGAATTTTATGTTAATTCTTCTGTCTCTTATGAGTCTTTCCAGTGCAATTGCTCTTATCCATTAAGAGTCACGTTTATCAAGTCTTCTCCTACTACTTCTCAATCTTTAACTTTCTTCCTCTTAAATTGTACGTGTCTTGACATCCCAGCCTCTCCTGGACTGCTGTATTTGAAGGCTGTTATTAAGACGTCACTTGCTTTTTTTCACTGCTGGCACTTTCAGACTTTGCTCAGTCTGCTGCTGGTGGAAGATTACTATGGAATTGGTTACCTCAGGAAATGAGTCATCTGTGACTAGGTTTGTCCTGCTGGGCCTAACAGATTCTCCAGTCCTCCAGCCCACCCTCTTTGTCATCTTCCTTCTTGCTTATGTAGCTACTATCGGTGGCAATTTCAGCATCCTTGCTGCCATCCTCATGGAACCCAAACTCCACACCCCCATGTACTTCTTCCTGGGGAACTTGTCCCTGCTGGATGTTGGGTGCATCACCGTCACTGTCCCCGCCATGTTG